TCTCTCTCTGGGAAAGGAATAAAAATATGAGACGGGAGTATTGTTGTGCTATAAAGTGTAATGGGTGCCATCAACCTCTTCTTTGATCTATAGACAATTGGAGATGTGCTTGAGGCTTGGTGTGCTAAAGACCTGGCAGAAAATTCATGTGCCCCCATTTCACCCTTTTCAGGTTTTTGATTTCTCCTGGGATCAATAGGGTGCTGGTCATTGGTGCCTAGAACATTCCCTGAAATTTCGGACTAGATTGGATGTGGCATTCAAAAGTTACCTCATGACAGACAGACAGACAGACAAACTGAAATGCCATTGAGTTGGGCATAAGGCTGTCTAAATTTGGCCAACATGTTCATTCTCATTGGTCAGTATAAGAGCCAGAACTTGCCTTGTTCAAGCAATGATATGACATTTATATTCATTTACAGTCTTAATTTATATATTGTCATTTCATTATGCAAAATATTTTAGGAGAGAAACTGAAGAATAGTTTTGCTAGTTGAAAGTACAAGAGGAACTTTATGTAAAATTGCCCTTGTTGGAATCTGGTCAGCATACCCATTCCCTTGTAAACAGTGTTTTAAGATCTCTGACTGCAGTTGCTCAGAGTCTTTTTGTTTTATGTCTCCTTTGGAAGATATGCCCAACAATTTAAATAATAATCATTATACCTAGCTCTTACGTAGCATTTTTCATCAGTAGATCTCAAAGTGTAGATCTTCACAGTAGATCTTCACAAATTCTGTGTCATGCCTATTGCTTATGGGGCCAGATTCGAACTAGCAGGGCTCATCTACACCCAGAAGTTAATTCGGATTAAGGTAGGGTACAAATGAAAATTGCATAGCTATTCCAGATAAACTTCAGGTTATTTTATTCCAAAATAAGAGCACCCACACAAGGAGTTAATCTGGAATATCTATTTCAGAATAATTCCCCATGCAGACAAGCCCTTAACTCTTTTGATGATGCCAGACCCTGCCATCCTGTGACAGAATATGCAGACAGGAAGTTGCCTCCATTCAACTTCCCTTCCTTTTACTCAGACACTCAAGGGAACATCTGTAGACTGGCTGTTTTGGAGACAGGAGAGAGAGAATGCCTTTGGGAAGGCTAGACTCCATACCATAGGAGTCGACTCTGTGGGTGCTCCAGGGCTGGAGCATTCATGGAAAAAAATGTGCAGATGCTTAGCACCCACTGGCAGCCAGTTCCCTCGCCCCCGCCAGCACCTCCTGCCCGCTGGTGGCCCTGCTGATCAACTCCTCCCACTCCCTTTCAGCGCTTCCTGCCCGCCATGATGAACAGTTTTGCGGCATGCAGGAGGCTCTGGGAGGAAGGAAGAAAAGTGGGGATGGGGCACGTTCAGGGGAGGGGGTGGAACTGGCCGGGAAGAGGTGGGGTGTGGGGGGGAAGAGGTGGGGTGTGGGTGGGGACTTGGGGGGGGTATGGTGGGGGCAGAGCTGCGGGTTGAGCACCTCGGGGGCCCAGAGGAAGCTGGCACCTGTGCTCCACACCCATGTCATGTGACTGGGTTGAACCTCAAACTTTGGAGAATCTGTTAACACTTCTTTTCCGCTTATATTAACTTATTTTTGCTTTCTTTTTATAAACCTTGTCCCTCAAGCAAAAGACCTTGCTGACTGCAACTATATTTTTTGTTCCAACGATTTATTCCACTAGTGGACGCACTGTCATTAATGAAATAGGCTGCTGTATCATACAGCAAGAGTTGTGATCTCAGCGTTGACAATTTCATAGCTATGCAATGCATGGGACACTGAATCAAGATATCAAACTAATGAGTTTTCTTAGGAAGGCAGAGAATCCCTGGCTCTGAGAGGCAGGGAAAGGTGCTAAAATAGGGAATCTGATCTGGTAAGATTCAAGATTGTTTCCTCTCTCTGTCTGATTGTAGCCTAAAAGGTCCAGTAGCTGGGGTAGAGAGGCAGGCAGCTCTGTAATGGGAGAACCAGCAAAGGAAATGCTATATGCCACCAAATATGGCCACCTTTTACTGATTTTTATTATGCAATCCAGCCTCTTGTCATTGGTACAACTAAGTTTTGTAAGGCATGCTTTTTTTGGCCATGCAAAACAGATTCTGTTAGTGTTTTTGCATTGGGCATAACATCCCCTGCACCAGACTCGGAAAAAAATTGTTGGAGGGGACGATGGGACAGTGATTTTAGGATCTTGTGAGAAGCAAAGACTAATGAGAGGGAGCTGGTCTGACTTAGATTGAAAGGCCAATATCCACCCAGGGCCTCAAAGATTCTTGACTTTTGCAATTTATCAAAAGAAATGTGTCTCAGTACCTTTTTAAAAATTTTATTAAGCCACTTGAAAATAAAATCAAGAAAACACATCACCAAAATGAATATTACTAATAATAAATCAAACTAAAAAGAAAACAATGCAACTTTCAAATCAATACCAAATCAACTAGTTAAATCATCAAATTAAATACTAAAATTTGCTAATCTTTGTCACAGGTCCTCATGGGCACCCCTCTCAGCCACGCACTAGGACTGATAGGAGGGCAATCCAGGCCTCTGTGTGCTGAATTTAAACCCAATTTATATATATTTTAAAGGTACATATATTCATGGGGATTACATAATTTTTTCATGTAATTCATTGGAGGTGAAATCTAGTGGTTGGGTGAAGGATGATAAAATGATATTTGAAGATCTCAAGATGCCAAGGGCTAGATTCACAAAGGGGATTTAGGCCTTGAAACACTTAACTCCTAGGCAGGCACCCAGGCTCCCATATGTTTTATGAGGAGAGTTAGACGCCTAAGAAAGGGATCCACAGAAGCCAGCAAGTTGAATGGGGAGCCTCCGAAGATAGCAGAGTGAAATGCAGAGGAAAGGAGCAGGACTTAAGGCCCAGATCCACAAAGGTACTTAGGCACCTACATAGGTGCTGGAACTAGGGCTGCCGGGGGTATGTGGAAGCACCCCCTGGCTTGAAGTGGTTTCCGTTGTGTACAGAGTTTTTACAGTTTGGTTCAATTGCTCTCAGCACCCCCACTATACAAATTGGTCGAGCACCCTTGGGCACCTAACTCCCTTTGATCTGGTACCTGACTAACAGGCCAGAAGGAGGCACCCGTCTCCACTCTGGATTCCCAGCCATGAACCCTCTCCTGGAGTTAGATACTTAAGCCAGTTCAGCCCTTTTTTGAGAGGTGGGGAGAGAGAGATACTTTCTCTCCCTGTTGTAGCCAATAGCCCAGTGGCTAGGCACTCCCCTGGTATGGGGAAAAACTGTTTTCAAACCCCTACTCTGTCTGATTTGGAGCAGGGATTTCACCCCAGGTCTCCCACATTCCAGCCAAGTGCCCTAACCACCAGCCTATTGGGCATTCTGGAACACGGTCTCTCTCCTGTTGGAGTTGTTCCTCTATATAAATATTCACTGGGCCAGAGAGAGAGAGAAAGTGAGAGACTGACTCTATAGTCTGGCAGTTAGGGCATTTCCTGGGATATGGGAGAGTAAGGTTCAAGTCTCTGTTTCAGTGAATATTTAACTATTTATACAAATTATACAGCTTCATCAGGAGAGAGAGAGAGACCCCAGAATACTCAATAGCCTGGGGCACTGCATGCGGGAGACCTGGGTTCAAATCCCTGCTTCAAATCAGGCAGTATGCAAATTCAAACCTTGGTCTCCCACCTCTCCCATAGGAGCATACCCTAACCACTGGAGCTATTGGGTACACCGCAACACCGACTCCTACCTGCCCTCAACATTGCCAACGTGCACATCCCCACAGCCAGAGAAATTCCCAAACTGCTCACCCCCAGCTATCTTCTGTGCAGGTTAGGTATGCTCAGAGCATGTCTGGGATTGGCTCTGCTGGGGAGATAGGTGGGGAAATGCCTAGTTTGAGGATCTCACCAGGGCTTAAGCTGGGCATCAGGACTTGTGCAGCTTTTTGTGCATGTACACCAGAGGGAATGTTGGGTGCCTACAGGGTTAGGTGGCAGCTGATCAGTGATTTTGTGAGTGTTAGTGGTGCCTAAAATGTTGGAGTCCGGCACCTAAGTACCTTTGTGAATCTAGTGCCAAGTGCTCTAATACAGTGGCTCTCAACCAGAGGTACACAGAGGTCTTCTGGGGTACTCAACTCATCTAGATCAGTTTTTCTCAACCTGTGGGTTCCAACCCCCAGGGGGATCACGGGATAGGTTTAGGGGGCTCCCGAGTGCAGGGCCAGCATTAAGAGATGGCAAGCAGGGCAATTGCCCAGGGCCCCACGCCACAGGGAGCCTTGCAAAGGTAAGTTATATGCTTCAGCCCCGCTTCCTGGGGCTCGGGCTTCAGACAAGGCTCACAAATGAAAAACAGGCTCAATTATCACACTGAAATGTAAATACAATATTTATATTGCAATCAATTTATTTTATAATTATATGGTAAAAATGAGAAAGGAAGCAATTTTTCCTTAATAGTGTGCTATGACACTTTTTTGTATTTTTATGTCTCATTTTGTAAGCAAGCAGTTTAAGTGAAGTGAAACTTGGGGTATGCAAGATAAGGGGTTACAGTAGTCTGGAAAGGTTGAGAACCACTGCTCTAATGCCATCAGGAAATCTTTTGATTCTGCTCAAAAAAACTGCAGCAAGTGCATAAAAATGTGTATCAAATTTTCAACAGTATTTCCCTTAACCACAATATTTGACCTCTTAATGGCCTTTTTTCCTCCAGCTCTAGTTTCAGAGGATATTGCCTTAACAATACTTTCAGAGTAATCTAAGATGAGTTTGAAAATGGGATCTTTTGGATCAAAGTTTCTTTGCTTTTTTAAAAAAAGTTAACTTTACTGTATGCTTAATTCTTTGCTCAGTTTTCCTTTAAGTAAAACTGCAAAATTAAATACAAGAATGTTTTATGTTTCAGAAAGAACTTTACACTTGAAACTCATAGAACACGGAAAAAATTCTTACAATTTCTGTTCTTTGAACTAATCTATATCATTTTTTAAAATGCAGGTTCTGACTGGATCGTCTCGTCAAGGTTACACAGGTACAGGCTATCAGGATTTCAGTAATTGGGAATCCCTTATGAAAATCAAAGAAGGGTTGCTAAGACAGAAAGAAATTGTGATCGATCGGTGAGTAATCCTTTGTCTTCAATTGCTGTGTTAAGTAATAGACCAGATTATTGACATAGAAAGTACTATAGATGTTGACTTTCAAAAAGACCTGGTTCAAAGAAGGTTTTTAGGACTCAGTCGTGCAAAGACTCATGTACAAACGGGACTAGTCAGTGTGTGCAGTTGTGTGCACGTGCATGCCTTTGCAGGATCAGGGACATAGTGTAATTTGTCTGTCTTTTCATTGACATTGGTTGAGAGAAAGGCGAATGAGATCATTGTCTAGGACTGTTGCCCCTAAGATTATAAAAAACAGATCTTTAAGAAGCTGTCTGTAAAACCTTAATTTTCCTTTTTTCAGCCTGAACAATTCCTTGAAAATGACTTGGAGGACAAAAATTGGTTATTTGTAACCCATTCTTGAGATTTTTCCCTATGAAGAGTTAAAGGGGGGGTGAATGCTACAGTTGTTCAATGATATAGTCAAACCAAGCTCTTAAAGATTTGAGAAATTGGCACCATAGAGTTATGCAAATGGTAAAAGTGCATTCAAACATTCCTATGTGTTACTCAGAGAATGATAAATCCAGAATAAATGTCTAGATAAACACTTCCTTTATAATCAGTGGTATGAAACAATCAGAAGAGGACCATGATCAAGACAGGGTGGGTGAGGTAATATATTTTATTGGACCAACTTCTGTTGGGAGAGACAAGCTTTTGAGCTTACACAGAGCTCTTCAGGTGTGAGAGACTAAGGCCTGGTCTACACTACGCGGTTAAATTGGTGTAAGCTACCTTGTGTTGATCTAGCTGTGAAAGTGTCTTCACTTAAATTTGGTTCCTGCTGACATAAGTGCCTCTCTATACTGATTTAATAACACCACTTCTCCAAATAGCGTAGAGTCATAGTTGATGTAATTAGGTCAATGCAGTGTCAGTGTTGACACCGTATTGTTTACATTGACTGTTGGTGGGCTTTCAGGAGCTGTCCCACAATGCCCGACACTGACATTACAGTCGATACAAGTGCTCCTGGTGAGGACATGCGCTGCTGACACAAGAAGCCAAGTGTGCATACACACAAGCGATTGAATAACTGCGTTGGTTGTATGTCAGCGTCAGCTGGGTTGACATAATTTTGTAGTGTAGACATGGGCTAATTCAAAGTGTCACTGCTAAATACAAGAAGAACAGGAGTACTTGTGGCACCTTAGAGACTAACAAATTTATTTGAACATTAAGCTTTCGTGGGCTACAGCCCACTGCATGCAGTGGAAAATATAGTAGGAAGATTTTATATACACAGAGAACATGAAACAATGGGTGTTATCAGACACGCCATAACGAGAGTGATCAATTAAGGTGAGCTATTACCAGCAGGAGAGAAAAAAAACCTTTTGTAATGATAATCAAGATGGGCCATTTCCAGCAGTTGACAAGAACGTGTCAACTGCTGGAAATGGCCCATCTTGATTATCATTACAAAAGGTTTTTTTTCTCTCCTGCTGGTAATAGCTCACCTTAATTGATCACTCTCGTTATGGCGTGTCTGATAACACCCATTGTTTCATGTTCTCTGTGTATATAAAATCTTCCTACTCTGTGGCACCTTAGAGACTATTTTCCACTGCATGCATTCAATGAAGTGAGCTATAGCTCACGAAAGCTTATGCTCAAATAAATTGGTTAGTCTCTAAGGTGCCACAAGTACTCCTGTTCTTTTTGTGGATACAGACTAGCGCGGCTGTTACTCTGAAACCTGCTAAATACCAGGTTTGAAAGATTGTTTAGCGTAAATAGTTAACACATTTGAAGGGACCATTCAAAGTGAAGTGGCCTGTTAACACCTCTCTAGTCATAGAGAGAAAAGGAGAGGGGGGAAAAGCACTAGGGTGGTGTTAGTGGGTTACAGATTTGTAATAAGCCATAAATCCAGTGTGTCTATTCAGACCATGATTTTTAGTATCTAGGAAAGTTATGAGTTTAAGCTACCAGGCTCATCATTTGAAAGTGTTGTGCAGGTTTCCTTTGAGGATGAGGACTGATAGTTCAGATGCAGAGTGATCACTTTGTGAAAGGTTTCAGAGGGGTAGCTGTGTTAGTCTGTATCAGCAAAAACGACGAGGAGTACTTGTGGCACCTTAGAGACTAACCAATTTATTTGGGCATAAGCTTTCGTGGGCTAAAACCCAAGGTGTTCACCCACAGGTGATATGGACGTTTTATAACTTTTATGATTTTTCTGAGACAGTTTATTCAAAAGCATAGTGATTGTCTGGTTTCACTCATGTAGTTGCTAATGGGGCATTTAGTGCATGGGAGGAGGTACACCACATGTTGTGATATGCATGTGTAGGGCCCATGAATCTTGAAAGGTGTGTTGTGGGGGTTGTTGATCATTGTAGCCGTGGAGAAATGTCTACAGATTTTGCATCTGTTGTTTTGACAGTGTCTGGTTCCTCTTTGCGTTGGTGTGCCGCAATCTGCAGTTGAATGTTACCTTCTAGGTTTGTAGCAGTTTCTGAAGTTTTTGGTGTTTGGCTGAATGAAGCTTTGAAAGACAAAATGTGCTTTTAGGGAAAAATCTAAGTTTAATGAAGCTCATGTTAAAGGAACAGATGTGAGCTTGAGTCATGAAGTGTGGATCTGAATGTCAAAGAGCATTTGGATACTGGGTTTTTGGTTTTTGTCCATCTCTAATAATGGACTCTTGCCTCTGGGGAGCTGGTAAAGGTGTGTAAGCTATACTAATTGTGAAGTGTTTGAAACCTCTCATTAACAATTGGTGTACAGAACATAGATAATTATATAAGATAGAGATTGGCCAACCACAGGAACGATGGATGTTTGTTATGGAATATTTTACTGCTCTGTTATTTAATGCCAATGACTCTTTTCTTCTAATGCATTTGTGTAGCTCAGCTGGACACAACTTTTTGAACCCAATAGAATTATGTCCCATACGTAATCTGTTCAAGTGGGCTGACTCATTTTAGTCTTTGACTGCTACAAAGAGAAAATAGTATGTACCATTTTCTTTGAGCCACTATCCTCGTTCACAGAGTATGATAGTTTAGATTACAGCATGTAGTATCGTTCCTGGAGCGGCTTCTGTGTCGCACCTCCAAGAGGCACAGCACAGAACTCTCAGCCAGGGGAAGGGGTGGGCTAAGGTGGCTTTAAGCCACCCTGGCATCTTCCTGATTTGGGGCTATTCCAGTGGCTGGAGAGGCCCTGGGCATAATTTACATAAGCCTGGGGGAGGGGAGCAGGGTCCGTCTAAATTATGGCTGTCTCTCCAGTTCGCTCTATGTTCAGCTCCATTTCTGCAGTGCTATGTGCTACAGCCCCTCACCTGACATGCTGCTCCTCCTTCCAGTGCCACCCTCTACCTCAGCGCTTGTGAGGGTGTCTATGGAGCACAGTCTATAGCTGTCTCTCAGTTCCAGTGACAGAGGATTTTTTCCCAGCCAGATTAGGGGTTTACTCCACTGAGGCCATTTTAGCTGGCATCTCACCTTATGTGTTTAGATTTTAGAGGATGGCAGCTAACATGGTTTTCATGTTTCTACGTTTCTTCATTCCCCTTCTGTTAAACGTTTCATGATTACAACTGATCATGAACTTCTGTTCGACTAAAATGACTTTTTGAATTCTAACTATCTGATTTTGTTGTTTTTTTTTCTTGGGATGGCCATCAAGTATTTTTACCTGGCAAAAAAAGCATTTTTACCTGGCATTTTGAATGGCAAAAAGTCTGACTACTGTAATTCTCAGCCCTTTTCCCTCTGTAGCTGTGTTTAATTTAGTTCTCTTCCTACATGTTCTGTTTGCAATGATAACAGGAAATACAGGTCCTTGTGCATCTCTCAGAAAAGTCTGTTACGCTGATTACTTCTTATTCAACTAAATGTGGTAGAATGCATAATGGAAGCTATTAAAGGTGCACAACAAAACCTTAGTGACCTCACATTCATTTGCTTTAAGTAGATATTCAGCACTAGTGTTAAGCATGTAGTGAATTACCATCATGCAGCTTAATAGCACTATGCAGGAAGGATTTCCTCTTGAGTAGCAATCCTTCATTTTGGAAAGTGCTTGCTTTAAAACAATTTGTAAATCATTATTTTTAAAGCCAATGATTTGAGATATTTTTAAATAATCTAACACTTATATTTTTGTGACGTTTAAAGTTGAGAATTAAAACCGGCTTTCTTTTAACAGTTTTTACAAGTTTTGACAGTTACAAAACTAACCAAAAACAGTACATAACACTGTTGGCTCTTTTAATGTAGAAAACAAGGTTAGGTTCCTGTTTCATAGTGCAGAAATATGGCACTATTGATCATAATTGGTGTTTTGCACTCTATGTGAAATCCTGTGTGGTGCCTTTGGTTCATAATATTTATCTCTAATAATATCTTTCATCTACAGATTTCAAAGCATTTGCACAGGTAGGCATTATTCTGGTTTTGCTTGTGGTAGGCATTATCCAGGTTTTGCCAGTGAGGAAACTAAGGCAAAGAGGGACATGGGGAACCAAGGGTAGAGTTAGGAATAGAACCTACATCTCCTGACTCAGCCCTATATTATTCTGCCTGCAGGACCGTACTTTTAACTCATTTTTGGAAGGGTGTGTTTACACTGGATATTAAAAAACAAAACCAGTCATTGTTAGCACTGGTGTTCTATTGCCAAATTGCCCACAGTTCAATTTGATTCTTAAATTGCAGACTCTGTGCTTAGGGAAAAGGAGGAAAAACTCATTTTGTTTCCTGTAGTTTTGATTGTAGATGCTTGGGGGAGACAACTTTGTATGTGTTTTATGGAGGCCTGTGAGGTTGTTGGGGTCTCTCTTTTAAACCGTGGTTGACATTGAGCTAATGTAAAATCCAGTTGGTAACAAACACCAGAACACTAGTTTAATATAAATGCTTTTTCTAAAACACCTCTTTCCTCATCTATCTGGAAATCAGAGCAATGCTATAGTGCTGGCCTTCCACATAATGGGCTGG